AATATTATAACTCATAATGAAATATCATCTATACCATCTAATACATATTATATTATTAATAATTTTGATATATTAGTTATAGCTTTATTCTTTAGGGAAGGAGAATGGGCCTGGAAAGAAAAACAATATGGGCCAGGCGGCCTGTTCTTGACTGAAGCAGGTAGTTTATAGATCGGCAGCCTTGGTAAGCCGATGTGGGCCAAGGGAATTGTGGACATGAAGGGTCTGTGCTCTTTTCCTGGGGATCCACCGCGGAACGAGTAGTACGTAGCATTGGCCAATATATATTGCGTACATGTCCCAGGGAATTCCGTTGGAGTCACCACTCACCTTGTCATCGTACGACTCAATTTGTTTGTAGAGCCCGCAATTGCAGCAGTCTTTGCTGGCCGTTCTCTAGGGGAACCAATGAAAGACGGTCAAGGTACCCGTGTTGTGCCTGGGAAATTACACCACGACATGTGGATCCAGATGTGGAGCCAGATGTGGAGCCAGATATGGTGTGGATTCAGATAAATATGGTGTGGTTCCAGATATGGACGTGAATTCCTGACATGAAGGATGAATTAATGACATGGTGTGAGTTCCTGACATGAATGTAATTCCAGATATGGATGTAATTCCAGATATGGATGTAATTCCTGACATATGTGTGAATTCCACACATGGATGTGAATTCCAGATATGGATGTGAATTCCAGACATAATTTTAATTCCAGAAATGACGTGAATTCCAGTCATGGAAGTGATTTCCAGATATGGGCGTGAATGTGGATTTCTGACATGGATGTGAATTCCAGATATGGATGTCATTCCTGACATGGACGTGAGTTCCTGACATGGACATTTCAGACATAGATGTGAGTTCCAGATATGGTGTGAATCCAGAGTTGTTGTGAATTCCTGACATTATGTAATTCCTGACATTATGTGAAACCAGACATGGATGTAAATCCAGACATGAATGTGAATTCCAAGCATATATGTGAATTCCTGACATATATGTGAATTCCGAACATGGACGTGCATTCGCGACATAGATGTATTTCCGCACATGGTGTGAATTCCTGACATAGACGTGAATCACATTGAGTCGGGACGGTTCTGGGCGCCCTGGCTGTGTTGGTATTTGCGTATTATTAAAATTCTTGGTGGTAGTGGATCTGAGGGAGCGTGGCTTGGGGCTGTAGCTGTATGTCGGGGCCGACGACTGGCCTCACTGGTCCTGGTCCTAGGCCCTGGAAACGAATCTGGGAGAAAACGACGCATGCGAAATGCCGAATTGAGTAATACTGACGGAGTGAGTCTGAATGAAGGCTGAATAGAAGTGTTTTGAATGAAAGCCAACGGATGGATGAACGGAGGAAGTGAACAGAAGAAGTAGACAGATGATGTAAATGGATAAACGTAAACTGTATGAAGCATGCCAAGTGAGAGTAACCCCGAATGAAAGTAAACGGATGGACTGAACCTGACGAATGAAATGAATTCTTTTAAATATTCCGAATTAGAGTAGCATGTGATAAGAAACGGATGGAGTAAGCCTGAATGAAAGTAAACGGATGAAGTCAACGGATGAAGTAAAATGTGTGGAATATGCCAAATTAGTTAACCCTGAATAAAAGTAAACGGAGGAATTAAACTGATGGAAGTACACTGTTTGAATTATTCCGAGTATGATCAACTCTGAATGAAAGTAAACAGATAAAATAAGCCTTAATGAATGTCAACGGACAAAGTAAACCTAAGTGAAAGTAAAAGGTTTTATAATGCCGAATGAGATTAACCTCGAACGAAAACAGAGGGATGGAAGTTAACATGAAGAGAGACAAGTTAGCCCAAGACAAATTATTTCAGCCTTGACAGAGTAATTAGACCATGATAGTGTAGTTGAACCGAGACAGAACAAACCTATGTTATTCTCGGGACCAAACCTAACAGTCTAATCAAAAACAGTCCAGCTACGTCAGAACGAAAATCTTGGTACGACCATGACACATTTAGTCCAACTACGCTAAACACATCCAAATAAAGGAAAAGAACCCAACCAAGTTGAAATAGATAAACCAAGACTCGGTAGTTCTACTCAGTCAGAATATCTCAACTAAGTTGAATCAGTCGAACCAGCACTCACGTCTATTATAATGGTTTCTTGTGCAGACTTCTTATTGGGTTTAATCACTGGGTTGGAATTGATAATCACAGTGTTTCGGGAGTTGTTCATGGGTTCGGAGGTATCATTGCTGACGCATTGACCGGTATTTTGCCTCCAAAATTGTCGCAGGTTACGACGGGGTCACAGGAGGCTGGATTGATGGCAATTTCAAACAGATTGGGCTCCAAATAGCTTCTTGGTCCTCTGTAGTAGCTCGGAATTTTAGTTTTACGATTATCGTGTTTATTTTTCATGAAAATTCTGGTTGCATGAGCAACTTCTGAGGCTGAGAAAATGGGCATGGACTTATTTGAAATAGCTGAGATACTAGGCAAGTTTGGTAACGACTACGAGACTTTCTTCCGTGAGAATGCAACTGAATTGGAGGCTATTCTTCACAATTATGAGGACAGCGTGGAGTTTCGAAAGGCCAATCTATGAGTCAGGGTTCCGTGATTCATGTGCATCTTGTAAACAGGGAAAATGCGTAAGAAGGTTGAATATTTAAAATGAATCATTTTGAGGCAACTAAATAGGATTTCAAATGCAGAATAAATATACATCGCCGTTCGTTTTTTAAACCCTCAGTTTATTTCAAGGTACTACCAAGTTCGATGGAGATAGGAGATTTAACCGTCAGAGTAATTAAACCATTGCAATACTCAAACAACACACTCCGCTTCAAGCAGAACGCTCATCTGACAATCTAAATAACGCCAAACCTGAAAAAAAAAACTAGAGCTTACCAAATGCCTTGCCAAAGAGTCTCACTGAAAATAGGGCTGACTAAAAATAGGGCTCGACTCAAAACAGAGAAAAGCTTGAAACTCATAGAGTCTTGCGCAACCTAGGTGACGCTTCACAACATGGCCCGGATAGGGGCAAATACCTAACGTTCAATGAATTTTCATAGACAACCAAAATGGGCTGAATATAAAAAATGAAAGATTATGACCAAAATAATGATAACATACTTATCAAGACAACTGAGTGTTGGTCTCAGAATCTTAATAGTGAACATCTTAACACGGAGAAAACCAGAGAAATTGGAACAAACTCAATTCTCCTTTGATGAATCAAAAAGAGAGTTACCGTGTTGGAAACCCCTATTATCCTGACTCTTTTGAAATTTCTTCTCTGTAGAGCCCCCAGCAAGACCAGGTTTGAATATTACGGCTTTCATTTGCTTGTAGTGAAAATACTCAGGACTTCAAAGGCTTGGCTTCTCATAGTTCTAGTGTAGAAGTAAACATGACAAGGAACCCCGTGAATATTCACACCAAGACCCATTTCGCTTCTCCGCATATCTCACCGTTTATTCGTGGTAGAATTTGAAATCCTAAAGCACAATGTGACAAGAAGGACACCGGCCATCATAAAAGCTTGAATTTTTATTGGACAATCCTCTTTTTTTTTTCATCTCCCTCATTTACAAACATGGCTGCCATGCAACATTCCAAGTAAAAAAAATTGAATACAAAAGAAGCATCCTTTGACACTTTTATCATTAGTCTTGTGGTCATTTCATGACTGTTTATGATATAGAAACATCAGCAGTGGTATCAGTATCATCAAGAGAGACACCACATGTGAGTTATTCCAGTGTCTCCATAACAGAAAATGTGGAATATAGGGGGCCCATTTCACTTTTCCCAACAAGCTTGATCTGTTGGTTTTCATTCTGGGACTTCAACCGGTAGATTTAGTTATGTAATAGATTTAGTGGCCTCAGAAGGCTGCTATAAGGAAAATGCTTAATTGGGCTCTTGGAATATTTCAAATAGAATGGGTTAGAGATAGGTTCCCCGCTACTTGAAGTCCAGAACAATACTTGTGAAATCTGACACAACCAATACCAAGAATCCAGAATTCCAACATTGGATATCTAGCTCAGGTCATGTCCAATATCCTTTCAAGGATAGTAATCCGAAACCTTCAGCTTGGTTGTTGTTACCATACTTGGCAAGGTAAGGATTTGCTTTCACTTCCTCAAATAGCCCACTAAAGAATAGATGAGGAAATTGATGGAGAGACCAGTGGAATTCAAAGAAATTGAGACAATGTAGATACATTTGATTTCTGTCGAACGCGAAACCTACTTATTATTGTCCCAAGCTGTTTTTCCTCGCAAACTTTCTTTAAATAATATAACGGTTCACTTCAGCTATACCAGCTCTATTCGAAATAAATCTCAAATTGACCTGTAATCAACATAGAGCTTAACTCGCTCCACTGAAGATTACTGAGATGAGAGTCCTGCAAAAATTGGATCTTAAAAGAGCCTCAATAAAAAAAACATTCTCGGAAATAGGGCCTTCCGAAAATAGAGCTCACTGGAATCTGGCCTTGCTGAAAACATCACTGAGAATGTGCCGGATTGGAAAGAGACCAAACTGAAATAGGTCTAACTGGAAGGGCTGTTTCGAACTAGGGTCTTCCTCATGACGGAGGCTTACTGAGACTACACCTTTAGTGAAATTTGCCTTATTGAAACTAAAGCCTAATTTGAAATAAAACTGCGGTAGGTATTGCCTTATCTGAAATCAGAAACTTTTCGCAATAGAGCCGAGCGGAAAATGGACTCATCATTAGTCTTGTCCAGAAATTGAGCCTCACTGAAACTAGGACCTCATTAAAAATAGTCTCCTGTGAGGCAAAAATTTAGCAGAAATGAGGCCTCATCTAAACTGCGGGTCTCGTTATAAATTGATCTTATCGGATAATAGAGTCTGACTAAAAATGGGCCTAAAAAATGGAGCCTGATTGAAAGAGGACTTCCAAACCATGCCCCAAGACCCCTAAACCGCCTTCAGCTAGAACTAATGCCGAAGTCCAAAAAGCATCCACAATGATAATTCCAACGCTTACATGGCCTCTTTCTGAAAATCTTGAAAATCTTAAAAGTCAAAACCCTAAGAGATAAAGTCTCATAAGATAAAGTCTCATAAGATAAAGCCTTATAACTTAAAGCCTCATCGGATAAAGCCTTATACCTTGAAGCCTGATGACTTAAAGCCTACCTGCAGGCCCAATGTTGCAGTAAAAAAACCCAACATGGCCCTTCACTTGAACAGCTCCCAAGTAAACCAATCCAAAGTCATGATATCCATCTTATATGACCCAAAACTCGTCACCACCCCAAACCTCATCTTGTCGCGGCTGGCACATTTCTCTTTTGGGACGGCCCAGACGATTCGCGCGTCCCCTGCCCCAAAACGCCTTTTGGCGGTCGTGCGCTGCTCTAAACGGCTTCTGCGTGAGCGAAAACACACTCGAGCATCAAAAATTATCCTCTCTCCATTGCAGATTCGGGGCTCGGTCGAAACACACATTCACCACCCATTTCACCTCTTGTGCTTTCTGGCATCTCTGGCCAGCTTTGACCGGTGAGTCTCTACCAGCAAAAGTGACATTCTCTGCTCCCATCTATTGTTTTCAAGCCTCTTCTGTGTGCTTCAACACATACTCTCTGCTAGATAGAATACAAATAACAAAGGCCTCACAGCTAGATATCTTACATCACATATGGCGGATAACGACAAGAAAAGACACTTTAGTGCCGTCGATAGCTTGCCGCAACTGCCGGCGAAAAGACCGCTTCAACAGCTCAGTGAAGACGGGCCATTAACGCAGCAGGATGTGGTGTATTTCAAGAAAGAAGCCATTTGGCGGCAGATGAATCTTTACAAACTACAAGCTCACGAGTTCCAGCGCGAAATCTCCAAGCACGAGAAACGCTACCTGGCATTTTTGGCTGTTCACCTGCTTCTAGAAAACTGGTACAAACTGGTTGTTTCTGCCTATAAGCAGGACGACGAAACCGTGGCAGCCCTTGATCTTTCGCTCCCACAGGACGAGATCGAGCTGATTCTAGAAAAACGACGCTCCACTTTGGTGGCGTTGTTGCTGTTGCCTGCCTCTGCTACCCTAGAAGAAAACTTGGTCAAGTTCTCCGACATCTTGACATTGAAGACTGACAAAGACAAAGCCGAACAGCTTCAAAGTGAGTTGAAAGAAAAAATCGCCCATTTGCAGCTACTGTTAGACGAAGCATTGAAAGAAAACGACCGAAAGGAGTCCAAGACGTTGCTTCGCGTCTCCACTAATAATCACATCAAAACAGAGGAACCGCAGCCTGCCAGCAACGGACAAGCTAACACATCAAAGGACCCAGAACTGGAGGCCAATCTGCAGCCGGACCTCGCGCAGAAGCACGAACTAGAGGATTTGAAGATTGAACTTGCTCAGATAAAGGCAGGCAATCAGTCGCTAGAGGAACGCCTAAGTCTGGCCTTGAGTGACCAAGCCAAAGCAGAGGCTTCCGTGCTGGATCTCACCCATAAGCTCAATGATTTGGACGACACCGATTTGCTCAAGTCGCGGCGCTATTTGGCACTTCTCGACCAGAAAAACTCTTTGGCAGAATACGCAGCCCAAGTCACGTCCATCAATGAGGAATTGACCAACAAACTAAGGTGTTCGGACGAGAAAGAAGGAAATTTCGTGCGCAGCGTCAGCCGCGAGTTGGAGGAGGAAAACCACCGCTTGAAGGAACTACTCACGAAGGCTGAGAGCGATTTGGTCAGAGTACGCACAGTCCGCGACGAACTTCTAGGAAAGCAAATTGTGTTGAAGCTGGAAGCCGAAAACAAAGCCACCAACGAGGAGCTCGTCAAAGTTAACGAATTATTGAACGAGAGGCTCAAGAGCTTGGAAGCGCAGAAGGAGAAAGCCTACGACAGCAACAGCGCGGGCAGCCTCGAACTGCTCGAAAAGCCGGAACTCATCAAAAGATTGCATGTCTTGAACGAGGAGCTCAAGGACATTGAGAAGGCGTTCCAAAGCACAAGAGAAGTCAACTTGGCCAGACTTCGAGAGGTGGCCGATAGAGAAGGATTGATGAAGAAGTTGAACATCGAAAAAAACAAGGCCGACCAAAAGTACTTTGCCAGCATGAGATTGAAGGACCTGTTGACGGCGGAAAACAAGGTGTTAAAAAGCCAGGTGGCCAAGTCGCAGGAGTTGGTCACTAAGCTCAGTGATTTAGAGAAGACCTACGTGAGCAAAGTGGACTTGTTGACCAAAAGCGTGGACGAGTACCGCGCCATCAAGGAGAGCTCCATGCAAGAAAACGCCAAGTTGCAAGAGACGATCAAGAAATTCACCAAGGTGCGCGAGCACGCCGGGAAGGAAATTCATCTGCTCAAGGAGGAGCTAGGCAAGGCAAAGAAAGAAGGCGCTGAAGCCGCTGCCGAGCTCGGCGTACAAAAAACAAAAGAGAGTAAGCTCGAGGCCAAGCTTCGGGCCACCGAGAACTTGTTGGCAAAGTACAAGCAGAACAACACATCCTCCATTCTCCAAGAGGACGAGAAGCAGTTGGAGGCCTTGAGGTCCATCACCAAGTGTTCGGTGTGCTCCAAGAACTGGAAGAACACCGCCATCACCGCATGCGGCCATGTTTTCTGCGACGGGTGTGTTCAAGAGCGGCTTGCCGCCAGGCTCAGAAGGTGCCCCACTTGCAACAAGGGCTTCTCTTCCAATGACCTCCTTTCTATCCATTTATAGACCACTGACTGCCCAAATGTATTATACTACGCGCCTTTCCTTGTGTTTCTACTTTGTTTGAAATTGGCGGCATCTGAGACATGGGAGCAGGGGAATTTGTGGGGGTACCAGCAGACGTCTCCGCAGAGTAAACATTCGTTCCACATCAAATACAATGGACAGAAGGCAGAGCAGTCCGGCACGAAAGAATAGAGAGAAGTCCAAAAAGTCTCCGGGTCTCAGCGGTGCTTCCACTCAACGTACCATGAGATTCGAGATTTCCCCTTTTCCCAGTGAATCAAGAACAACCGAAACTGCTGGGCTTATATCTGCTCACATATCGCCATGAACGGTCAAGGTGCAATTCGGGCGCGAAAGTGCTGGTTCCTATGTGCACTCCCGCGGGTTACCCGGCCGCGCCATGGCAAGACGGAATCCGGGAGGAAACAGGTAGGGGGCAAAGCGTACTCCCTGGAGATTAAGCGCCACCACTTGTTTTTGTACCACCAACCTCATCAGGCCAAAATGCCTATGTTTGCCTGCCGTTAATCAAACAGGGCGGGATTCCAGTTCAGCGGCAACACGCAAACAAGAAAACAAAACCTGTTTTGTGGGCGGCACATCCCGCTATCTTTGGGATGCCACTTTTTTTTTTTTAGCAGACGTTGTGGTGTACGTGTCGCAACCGGCTTTGCCTCCGGCTGTAGTCGTCACAGCCATGCCTATTAAAGAAAAAAAGAAACGCGGCGACTCCCGCGCATGACCGGCCCGGGCGCGAGGAGTTTGAGCCGCGGCAGACGAAGCACGTGTTTTGTGTGGCCCGAAGACTCAGGCACAAGAAGGTCTGGAGACCCGCTTGTTTTTGCATTTTTCTATAGCTGTCATTACCCGTAGACACTCGCTTCCAGCACCGAGTTTGCAGCCAGCCTGCAGTCGGGGCGTGCGAAGGCGAAAGAATGCCGAACGGACACAATTGGGAGCGGTCGCGCCAGCAATTGGCGGCAGATATATAAATAAACTGGGATTTCCTGAGAAGTGTGAGCACGAAAATTCGCACTTTTTTGGGTCCTTATTCCTTCCGCCAACTACCCTCATTGTGTACAGCACGACCCCGGCCTTTCGTCCGCGCTTTTAATTGGCTATTCCCCCGAAATCCTTCGCACGCCCCGACTTGTGGTTTCACTTTGTTTCTTTCTTTTTCCCTTGGTGTACGGGTGCTCTCTCAACCTCGCCCCACTTCCTGTCTGCACGTGACCTCGCCCACACGCCATGTCTGAGAACCCGGTGGCCACTTCTGCCCCAGAGGCCAACACACCAGTGCAGACGCCCCTGGCTGAAGTCTTTGATCAAGTGGAGGCCAAGAACTCGTCACGTGTCGAAACCGAGGTGCCTGAAAAGCCTCTCTCGCCGCCCAACCCGTCGCCCTCCCCAGAGAAACACAAGTTAGAAGATGATGATATGGAGGACGAAGGCTCTGCGAAGAAGCTAAAAACCGGCGATCCCGAAGAGGCAACTGTCGTAGAGCCCAAGACCGAAACTACCGAGACAACCTCGGACGAAAAGAACGCAGACGCGTCTAAGACCCAGGAAGTAGTGGCCGAAGAACCCGGATCCGAAGCGCCCAAGCCCGAGAACGGCACTCCCCTGGAACCCAATGGCGATCAAAACGGCGACTTCGGTGCGGCAGGAGATTCACTCCTGGACCAGTCGAAAATGACGCCGGCGCCCAAGCCACCGACCGAGCCCGACATGAACAATCTCCCGGAAAACCCTATGCCAAAGCATCAGAACAAGTTTGTTCTCAACACGATCAAAGCTATCAAGCGGTTGAAAGATGCGGGGCCGTTTCTCCACCCTGTGGACGTGGTGAGGCTCAACGTGCCGTTGTACTATAACTACATCAAGCGGCCAATGGACCTCGGCACCATCGAAAGAAAGGCCGTGGTCAACGCGTACGAAGACCCCCTGCAAGTTGTGGACGACTTCAATCTTATGGTCAACAACTGTGTCAAGTTCAACGGTGAGACGTCGGGCATCTCGCGCATGGCCAGAAACATCCAGGCGCAGTTCGAGAAACACATGCTCAACATTCCTCCCAAAGTATTGGCTGTGAACGGCTCCGCAACTGTGCCTGTGTCTGCAAACTCTAGGCGCAGAAACGTCCTAGAGGAGTCCAAGAAAGAATCGGTGGCTGCGCACAGACCAAAGAGAACGATCCACCCGCCAAGATCCAAGGAGTTGCCATATGATGTCCGTCCAAGAAAGAAGAAGTACGCGGCCGAGTTGCGTTTCTGCAACCAGGTCATTCGGGAGATGACCTCAAAGAAGCACTTCAACATCAACTTCCCGTTCTTGCAACCCGTGGATCCTATAGGCCTTAACATTCCTAACTACACGGGAATTGTGAAGAACCCTATGGACTTGGGTACCATTCAAACCAAGCTCGCAAACAACCAGTACGAGAACGGAGACGATTTCGAGAAGGATGTCAGACTAGTGTTTACCAACTGTTATCTTTTCAACCCCAAGGGCAACGACGTGCACGCCATGGGCCTGAAGCTCGAACAGATGTTCAACAAGAAATGGGCGAGCAAGCCCGTTCCTGTTGCGACGCCACCGCATTCGGATATGGACGACTCGAGTGATGAGGATGATGAAGACGACCTCGAGATCAGTGAAGAGATGTTGTCCAATGTTCCAGCGATCCAGTTCCTCGAAAATCAATTGGTGCGGATGAAGAAAGAACTTGATGAGTTGAAAAAGCAGCACTTGGACAAGTTGAAGCAGCAGAGGGATTCCAAGAGAAAGAAGAAGAACGCCAAGAAGAACAAGAAGAGGGCAAGATCGAATTCTTTCGCAGATCACGCAGCAGAGCACCAGCCAGTGGTGACCTACGAAATGAAAAAACAAGTGAGTGAGACTGTGCCCACCTTGAACGACAAGAAATTGCAGGCATTGATTAAGATCATCAAGGATGACATTGTCATCAGTGACGAAGAAGAAGTTGAGTTGGATATGGACCAATTGGAAGACCGCACGGTGTTGAAGCTCTATAACTTTTTGTTTGGAAAGAAGGCCGCCAGCATGGCCATGAAGAAGCAGAAGAAATCAACCTACTCCGCTGGCAACATTGACCAGTTGGAGCAGTTGCGGTCCCAGCTCCAATTGTTTGATGATGCCGAGAGAGGCGGCAACGGCGCGGCGTCCGCTGCGTTTGATCTCAACAGTATCCCTGCGCAAGAATCGTCTGAGGACGACTTGTCGTCTGAGTCTTCCGAGGAGGAGTAATATTTGCGTCATGGGATTTGAGAAACAGGGGGAACTTCCAACGGGTGTGAATACGGAGTTGGAAGAGGGAATGCTGGTCAACTTGAATTTGGAGAGGTTGACGTGAAGGTGCCGGCAGTGGATCTTCTTGCTCTACCGAGCAATGAAGCCGCAGCCATTTGTAACATAATATCTTGTACTATAATGGTTACTCAGTTGAGGAGGAAAATCAAAAACATATTATAATAAAAAAGAGGCAAAATTATACCAGAAGAGAAGAGAGTTCCGATTAAAAGTAATATGTATGGATGCATGTATTGCGCCACGCGAAACCACTATCCAAGTCTCGCGGACATCTTGCCCGTATTTGGCAGGCGCGTCCGCGATATGCGATGGGAGAATCTCATCGGACGCCGTGAGCCTACATTAAATGTGAGCCTTCTTCTATTAAGTTGAAGCAGCGCACACATTCTATTTACTCAAAGAGTACCCACTGTCCCGGATCCCAAGAAACACAACCTCACGATAGCCCCCACTGTTGCCACGCACTTAGTTCTGCTCGCCACAGCACCCATCAAAATCAGCATGTCTCTCCCCGCCAGAAACCCCAAGCACAACCCGCTCTTCATCCTCAAAACGTGCAAGGCGCTAAATGGGCGTCCGGCTTATATTGCCGGTCCCATGGTGCGTTACCTGAAGCTCCCGTTTCGCGAGTTGGTCAGGCACTACAACACCGACATCGTGTATACGCCGATGATCTTGGCCCGGGAGTTTGTCCGAAACGAGACCGCTCGTATCAGCGACTTCACCACCAACGAGCGGGACCGCAGCGTCATCGTGCAGGTCGGCTGCAACAATGTCGAAGATCTTTTGAAGTTTGTCGAGATGATCCATCCGTACGTCGATGGAATCGGGCTCAACTGCGGGTGTCCGATCCGCGAACAGGTGCGCGAAGGTATCGGCGCTGCTTTGATGTCGGAGCCCGAGCTCGTGGCCAGCATGGTCAAGGCTGTCAAAGACAAGTACGGAGACCGTGTGTGTCTCGAAACCAAGATCCGCATCCACAGCAATCTCGACGAGACGGTGCGGTTTGTCAAGATGGTCGAGGCTGCGGGCGTGGACTTCATCACAGTGCACGGACGGACGAAAACAACACGGCTGTCTGTGCCAGCAAATTTTGACGCGATCAAGTTGGTCAAGGAGTCCGTGGGTGTGCCTGTGGTGGCCAACGGCGACTGTTTCCTGTTCGATGATGCCACGAAGATCGCGGACTTTACTGGCGTGGACGGCGTCATGGCCGTGCGGGGC